GAAAGTTCTGATCCCATGCTCAGTTCCCAGTCCTGAGGCAATTTTCAGATGCAGCACCCATTGGATGAAGTGGTGGAGCTACATGGAAAAGCCCTGGTATTTAATGGGAAATAATACAGTGATGATTCTCTGAGTGGTTTTTCCAAGGGATTATACCATTTGCTGACTTGGTGACTGTACAAAAAGCAAGGGAGAATAACCAGGTATTTCAAGGACTATTAGAAACAGGATCTGAGTTGATATAGAGACAGAGACACAAAGCATAATTATTGTTCACCATTATCGTGGGAATTTATGGGGGCTATGTGGGTCCTGGAGATAAGATTTTAGGTTTACAATTCCTTTCTTTCAATACTTTAAAAATATTGCCCCACTACTATAGTGTTTCTAATGTTGCTTCTGAGAAGTATGATGTCATCTGATTCTTACTGCTTTTTCAGCAACCCATTCGTTGTCTCTAGTAGTTTTTGTAATGTTTTCAACTTGATATTTTAAAATATATTGTAGTGTGTCTAGATACAGGTTTTCCTGATAACTTATTGAGAACTCTTCTTTAAGTCTTTTTAACATGAAGTTTTTCCTTTTTCTTAAATTATGAATATCTTATCATTATTTTTTCAAATATTTCCTCATCTCCACTTTTTAACTTGTTTTTGGCATTTTTACTAACTTGGTCTTTTCCTAAAATTTTCAAAACTCATTTTTATCCTTCTGTTTTTCTAGCAAGGCTGGTCAGTTTGAACTTCTAGCTCATTAAATTATCTTTCACCCATCCTACTATTACATGTCTATTATGTTTTCCAGTTCCTTTCAGGTAGCTTATTAGGGCTACATTTTCCAGAAACTTCTCTCATTAGAGGTTTCCCCCTGATACTTCCAAAATTAGTGGTCTGAATTAGCAAGACTTGTTTCTATCATGAAACTCAGGCAATAAAGAGCAAGACAGGGTTGGGGGACACAGAGGAAAACTTGAAAAAACTTTTCTGTCAACTGTCTTCTGATTCTACTCTAGGCTTTTGCCCCTTTCCCTCCCTATACATTCCAGTTCAGTGTAGGCTCACCTCCAAGTTCTGGCCCAGAATACATGTTTACATCTTTCTTCTATTGTTTATATGGGGTTGATTTGGAGGAGGGAATAAGTAGCCAGTGTCCTGTTCTAGTAACCATTTGCAGAAACTAGGCTTACACACACACACACACACACACACACACACACGTGGGTGCACTAATAAAATGATCTCATTCTTGAAACAAAAAGTGGATAAGCTCTTTATGTGTGAAGATACATTTGTTTAGGTTTGTTACATAATTGAACAATGTAAAAGAATGTACAAAATTTTAAATTTTGATTTGTTTAGTAGAATACAGGGGAGAGAGTGCCAGATTTTTATTTGTACTATTCTATGTTGGGAAAAGCACATATAACTTTATAATTTGAAATTAAATTATAATAAAGAGCATTTTTAAACTAACCTGGGCCAGAAGATGGCAGCAGAGTAGCACATTTGGTGGCAGGGTCTTCAGTGCTCTTGTATACACTTGTACACACTAATGTGGGTCACTGTGACCCGCTGCTTTCTCACTTCCGGGTTTAACCATAATAAAATCACACTAACAGATTGTGTAATCCAATTTTTGTTTTGTTTGGATTGGCTGCTCATGTAACACATCACCTGCTGTTTTTAATCTGTGTAACTAAGTCACTCTGATGTTCATCAATTAGTTGTTACTCTTTTGGTTGCCAATTAATGTATCTTCCTGGGTTATAAGAAGGATCAGGGAGATTTACAAAACAAAAAACCTCTTTTTGAATCTTGAAAATACTATTAATTGGAAGTGCTTTGGGTCTTTTTTCTAAGGCAGGTTGAAAAACGAGTTTCTGACCTCAATCTCAACTATGGTCCCTGTTGTGCTAGTTGTAAGTTACACAGAGTCCCCTCACCATTGATTAAGAGAGGAAGGAGATTCTAAAATTGGACTTTGATCACATGATAAAGAGAGAACACACAAGGAAGGTATGAGGATAGGTAAGATGCTCAAAAAACTAGATAGCATTTGTTGCCCTCAATGCAGAGAAACTAAAGCAGATACTTTGGGGCAACTGAGGCCAACAGAAGAAGGGGACCAGGGACTAGAGAAAAGGTTAGTTCAAGAAGAATTAACTTAGAAGTTAACACACATGCACAGAAAAGCAATGCAAGTCAACTCCCTGTGTAGCTATCCTTATCTCAACTAGCAAAAACCCTTGTTCCTTCCTATTACTTCTTATACTCTCTCTTCAACAAAATTAGAGATAAGGGCAGAATAGTTTCTGCCTGGTAGCGAGGAGGTAAGCGGGAGAGGGAGGAGGCTGGAGGTAAGGGAGTGGGTGGGGGGAAGGGGAAATGACCCAAACATTGTATGCACATATCAATAAAATAAAAATTAAAAAAAAAATAAAAATGACCATGCTGTGCATGGCCGATCATGATCCCCAAAGGATCTGTTATTTTTAGTAGCAGTTATAAAAACACTTTTAACTCTTTATGTGGTCTTGAGAGTGGGACTTGGTTTTAAACACAACCCTATATTCAAAGTCTAGATACTTACTACCTGAAGAAAAGAGGTTTAAGAAGTGTTTGCTAGATGAATGTATAAGTGGTTATATGAGTTCTTGCCTAGAATGTCCCAGGTCAGTGTTGTATAGAATGTTCTAGAATTTTCTAGGGTGATGGAAATGTCCTATATCTGTGCTGGTCAGGACTGTAGCCACTAACCACATTGGCTATTTTATGCTTGGAATGTGATTAGTATGACTGAGGAAACGAAATTTTAATTTACTTAATTTTGATTAGTTTAAATCTAAACAGCTTTATCTGGCTAGTGGCCACCATATGGGACAGTGCAGGTTTTAGTGCTTAGTGATATTTTATAGTTTTCTATTTTCCATTCTGAGGTAGATTCTGCCTCAGCTGAATTCATAAACCACATTTCAAGTGATATCTATGTCTTCTGAAGATATTAAATAGATATAGTTGATGGAATTATGAGGGTTTAGGTATTTGACAAATAAACCCACTGTGTGTGTCTATGTATGTATGTATGTTTGTACATGAATTATTTGTAGTGGCTCAGCCTTCAGTCTTCCTTCAATTTTCTTTAACTCCAGTTTCTAAATATTTTGATTTGGATAGAATTGTATAGAAATGAGATGGCCATAATAAACTTTTGATCATTTTCAATGCAGCAGCATTATAAAAAGGAAGAGAAGAAAAATACTTCCAGATTCATGTAAGGAAATTATGAATTCATGATTTTTAACTATTGATCAACTACTGACTCCACTGTGACAGTTCTTAACTGAGGGTGACTTTGCTGCCTAGGGGACATTTGGTAGGATCTAGTCACTTTTTGTTGATATAACTTGGTGGTGTACTGCTGATTTCTGGAGTGTAAAGGTACGGATGTTGCGAAGGATTCTCCAGTGCAGAGCATAGTCTCCTTCTTTCCCCACAGAGAATTATCTGTGACACAATGTCAACAGCACAAAGATTGAGAACTCTACATTATAGTGATGATTCAAAGAGAATGAATTTCAGTTTGTTATCATGGATATATTTTAATATATACAATATAATATTATATGGGCTAAGAGACTCTTCCTTCATTTAAACCCTCAAAGAAAACTAGCATAGCAGTTATCTCACTAGCTGAATTAGTTGTAAAATGAGGGAGCAAAAATGAGGGAGCACAGAATAAGTTTGAGTTTATAGTCATGCGCAGTGCTAGAAAATATGCAATTAAATACTGGTGAAAATCCCAATTCATCAGAAAATGAAGACATTCAAAAGATACTTTCTTGATTTTCTAAATATTTTGTATAAAATATCATTCTGCAAAACCTACCTGCCATTTTGAAGCAAACTTAAATATTACATTTATTAGAAGTATAATATACATTTATTAGAAGTATAACTTGACCAAATATCTTATTTTCAATAAGGTTTTTACTGAAATCTTGTACCAAATTGTTTATCAAAGTTTGGCTTTTCATGTAACTTGATTGTGAATATCTAATAGAGATAAGTCTATCCTGACTTCCCATTGTATAGAATTCTTATTAAATAAAATGCATTAAAAGATAATGAAATAAATTTATACAAGGAAGAGAACTTCTGTTGTTTTTAGAGATGGAGCTAGATGCAGTTCTTTTTCATTGAATTCTTACCTGTTTACATTTAAAAATAATGAGAAGGCCAGGAAACTGGGCCCTTAATCTTTGAGCACTGAAAGGCATTTTTACATAGTTCAAAAAAGAATCCTGTTCTGGGCAGTATTTACAGTTCTTCTTCTATCTTTATTCATTGCTTCAAAATAGATATCAGTGAACTTGTTCAAGAAAATTAAAATCTTTTCCATGAGTACAAATATAAATACCAACCTTTTTTTCAAGTTCCAAAGAGAGGGTAAATGCATATCTGAGGGCAAAAAGGGATGGACTCACAGTAATACCATTTTTGAAGTCATAGGTTCCTACTGCTCCCTCCATCATTTGTGTAACATTGGCCAAAACTAATAATCTTGACTTGCTAGTCAGTGGACCTCTGAATTCTTAATGAATATTATTTGATGAGGAAGACAAAAATTATAGAGCCATCAGAGAAGGGAGGCATGCTTTGTCAGGAAATAGTGGAGAATACCAGCCAATTGGTATTTACTTGATTGAATTGTCAGATTACTCTAAAATGGATAGTAGACAGTAGAGGCTGAAAGATCAGCAGGAGGAAATGAGAGACACTACAGGAATGGCAGATCTTTGTGAAGATGACAGTATCTTCTATGTTCATTGTCAGCAAAACACTTTAGATGATGTGAAAGAGTGCCTTCTTCATATTTAAGGGGAAGGTCATACTTATTTACGTCTTGAAACTGACAACAGAACACATGGCCACACTCTCTAAACATAATTTGATAGCGACAACACATAACATTTACAGTTTGGAATTAGAGGTATTGTTGCATTAGATGTTAGTTTTAGATTTAATCCAGTCCCGATAATGAGTCACTCTGGTGTAAAGTCCAGGTTTGTTTTCTTTTCCACAGCCTATTCCCCAGCTTACTATTCCAATAAGATACCAGATATTTCTATCAAGTGCAATAACCAGAGGTCCTCCAGAATCACCCTGCAGAAGAAGAAAAAATTGTGGTCAATATGATAAAGAAAAAGGGATTAAAAATTAGCATTAATTGGCATATGAATGTCTAATAAATTTATACATTGAGTAGAAATATGTAAAATCAATTTACTTTGCTTATTATTAGTGTTAATATGTTAACTGAGTTTATTACTTATTCCCTGTTAATATCTTCATCCGGAAGGTTTTGTGAATAAGGCTCAGGTTTTACTTTTATCTTTGTAAAAATTTTAGTTTTTCTTTGTCTAAACAGGGAACAAAAACTGAACTTAAGTCCACGCAGTTTATCTTTATATAAATAATGGCTTCATTATCAACTAGCGTCACCTCCTACGTGAAGTCTTTCCTATTAGATAGAAATAGTCTTTTGCTTTGCATTAGAATAGCACTTTGTTCTACTCATGTGAATTTCTAGGAAGGTGTCTTGGGTGTTATATCAAATGTGCATTATTTATTATTGAGAAGATTTTGCTCCCAAACTAAGATGGAATTCTTGGCCTTAGTGAACCGGTTTAAAGTACCTAAATAATGAAGACTTCCCTGAATCTTTGATCCAAGGTGTAAGCAAACGGTATTAACGTTATCATTTTGCAATGAACCTATTCATTCAAAACAAGTATCATGTGAAATCCTATTGTAAGTTTCTAAAATAAGAGAAATCATCTGTTTGAAGCAGGTAAGGGGTTCTAGAGTTCTGTGCCTGAAGATCTTCTCCCTCTCCCTAGTGTTTGATGCACAGTGTGAAAACCCCAGTCTACCAAAAGCAAATCTCCCTAGTTCCTTTCCCTTAGGGTTCCATCCTAATGTAGGTCCTCACTATTTTACTGTCTAATGGTGAAAGGAAACAAAGAACTATGAACAAATGAAAGAAGATTTGCTCCTATGCAGATTTATTTATCTTTCTTTTCTAAACCATGTGATCTGCTTGTGCCTTGGATTATCCACATCCTCTCCTTATCAGGAAGGAAAGTGAGTGGAAGGATACCTTACATTCCAGAATATGTAGCAAATCTTGATTTTTTTTCTCCTTTATTTTAGTTACTTGTACATTAATTAGATTGTAAATTCATTGTGAATTCACTGATTTTTTTAATGTTTATTTTTCCTTCAATCACTGCTACAATATCTTGCAGTTCACAAAAAACATGAATGAATAAGTAAATGAATGTTTAATTCTATCACATGACAGACAATCAATGGCAGATTAATATTGGTGCCTTTGCATATATAAGTTCTCAAAGCCAATTTTAACTCTTCAAATAATTGCTTAATCACTGAACCATTTTAAATGCAATAGGTGGACCCAGATATGAAGCCACACAACTATAACCAACTTGTTTTTGACAAAGGAGCTAAAAATATACGATGGAGAAATAGCAGCCTCTTCAACAAAAACTGCTGGGAAAACTGGTTAGCAGTCTGCAAAAAACTGAAACTAGATCCATGTATATATCACCCTATACCAAGATTAACTCAAAATGGATCAAGGATCTTAATATCAGACCACAAACTATAAAGTTGACACAGGAAAGAGTAGGAAATACTCTGGAATTAGTAGGTATAGGTGAGAACTTTCTCAACGAAACCCCAGCAGCACAGCAACTAAGAGATAGCGTAGATAAATGGGACCTCATAAAACTAAAAATCTTCTGTTCATCAAAAGAAATGGTCTCTAAACTGAAGAGAACACCCACAGAGTGGGAGAAAATATTTGCCAGCTACACATCAGACGAAGGACTGATAACAAGAATATATAGGGAACTTAAAAAACTAAATTCTCCCAAAACTAATGAACCAATAAAGAAATGGGCAAGTGAACTAAACAGAACTTTCTCAAAAGAAGAAATTCAAATGGCCAAAAAACACATGAAAAAATGCTCACCATCTCTAGCAATAAAGGAAATGCAAATTAAAACCACGCTAAGATTCCACCTCACCCCTGTTAGAATAGCCATCATTAGCAACACCACCACCAACAGGTGTTGGCGAGGATGCGGGGAAAAAGGAACCCTCTTACACTGCTGGTGGGAATGTAAACTAATACAACCACTCTGGAAAAAAATTTGGAGGCTACTTAAAAAGCTAAACATTGATCTACCATTTAATCCAGCAATACCACTCTTGGGGATATACCCAAAAGACTGTGACACAGGTTACTCCAGAGGCACCTGCACACTCATGTTTATTGCGGCCCTATTCACAATAGCCAAGTTATGGAAACAGCCAAGATGCCCCACTACCGATGAATGGATCAAGAAAATGTGGTATCTATACACAATGGAATTTTATGCAGCCATGAAGAAGAACGAAATGTTATCATTCGCTGGTAAATGGATGGAATTGGAGAACATCATTCTGAGTGAGGTTAGCCTGGCCCAAAAGACCAAAAATCATATGTTCTCCCTCATATGCGGACATTAGATCAAGGGCAAACACAACAATGGGATTGGACTTTGAGCACATGATAAAAGCGAGAGCACACAGGGAGGGGTGAGGATAGGTAAGAAACCTAAAAAATTAGCTAGCATTTGTTGCCCTTAAGGCAGAGAAACTAAAGCAGATACCTTAAAAGCAACTGAGGCCAATAGGAAAAGGGGAACAGGAACTAGAGAAAAGGTTAGATCAAAAAGAATTAACCTAGAAGGTAACACACACGCACAGGAAATTAATGTGAGTCAGCTCCCTGTATAGCTATCCTTATCTCAACCAGCAAAAACCCTTGTTCCTTCCTATTATTGCTTATACTCTCTCTTCAACAAAATTAGAGATAAGGGCAAAATAGTTTCTGCTGGGTATTGAGGGGGTAGGGGGGAGAGGGAGGGAACAGAGTGGGTGGTAAGGGAGGGGGTGGGGGTAGGAGGTAGAAATGACCCAAGCATTGTATGCACATATGAATAATAAAACAATAAAAAATTAAAAAAATAAATACAATAGGTAAAATCTTTATTATTTTATTTATTTTTAATATTTTAAATAGCCAGACTTTAAAATTGGTATTCTCCTTAAATTCTTAAAATTAACATTTTCTACTGAGGAAAGAGCTATTTAATTAGTTTTCAGGTATGATCTCTGGACAGAACTTTAATAGGAGTAGGTATAGATAAATATGTACTTTTTGTTTTATTTCTAAATAGTGTAATACTGCCTAGATGGACACAACTTAAAGTCAAAGATTTAGGTATCAATGAGGCAAAACTTTATTGGCCATAGAGATACCCTGTGGTCTCATCTCTCTGTGGCTTTCAATTAGCAGGCATTGGATACCTGGCTGTTTTTTATAACTGCACCTTGAAACTGATTGCATAGCTTCCTGGAATTGCTTCCTCCAAAAATTAATTTCACAGAATCATGTAAAGGGACATTGTTCTATGGTCAGTGTTATGATTTGGATATGAAATGTCCCCCAAAAGACTTATGTGTTTAAGGCTTGGCACCCAATTGGTGGATGCAATCATTGAGAAGTGAATGGGCTTTGACCTAATCAGTGAATCGATAATTCACAATTGGAATTATTAGGAGATGGTGGAAACTTCTGGAGGCAGGGTTTAGTTGGGAAGAGGTCACTTGGGGCTATATCTTGTCCCGGCCCCTTCCTGGGTTCCTCTCTACTTCACAGTCACAATGAGGAAAGCATCAGCGCTCTACCACAGGCTCCTTCCATGATGTTCTGACTCACTACATTCTAAAACTGATGGAGCTAGCCAACCATGCACTGAAAGCTCTGAAACTATGAGCCAAAATACATCTTTCCTCCTTTAAACTCTTTCTCTCAGTTATTTGTCAAATGCAATAACAAATAATAAGTCCACCCCTATTCAACAGTCTTTTTTTGTGGATTTGAGTCTATTCTTACCTCACAGGCATCTTGGTTTCCTGTCAAGAATCCAGCACATATCATCCCTGATGACACAGCACCTCCATATGCATGAACTTGATTGCATATATCATTACTTATGATCTCTACTTCAACTTGCCGCAGAGTATTTGGAAAGGGACCTAAATAAAAGAAAATAAATACATGAAGAATTTTTACCTTCTTGTTATGATAATTAGTTATTGTGTTATGCAAAAGACAGATCAATGGTAAAGCATTAATTTTGAAGTTGTGGATTCTAGGCTGAATGGCTGCTTAGAATCAGGTTACATTTTGAGGGAGTCTTTTATGTACAGATAACATGATTGGCCCATTTACTCATACAATCTTATTTAATCCTTGCCACAACCACCAAAGATAGGTCTTAATATTTTCTTTATTAGGTAGGAAACTGAAGCTTACTTGGTAAGGAATCTTGCTATGATCACGTAGCTAAATGGGAGATGTGCTAGATTTAAACCCAGGGTATTTCTTGATATTTGAGAGAAACTGTGACAGTTTATCTTATCTGGAAACCTACCTCATCACTTTACAAAGAACACAGATATTCTCAGATTGGGACTCCTTTAGGAAGAGCAGTAATGCCAGTAACTATAATGCAGTTAGAATCCTAGTGTTTCATGAGAAAGACCATGTTTATTCTGAAAATAGTTTGACTAAGACAAATGCCAGGATAAGTAACAAATAGCAAAATAAGGAGTAGATCATGTTTTATTCATTAACTATATATTTTATCATTTCATTATATTATGAAATAATAGTAACAATTATTATTACGTAGTGATACTGGGGCTTGAACTCATGGCCTTGTGCTTGCTAGGCAGGCACTGTACCTCTTGAGCCATATCCCCAGCTCTTTTTGCTTTATTTTTCAAATTGGGTCTCACAGTTTTGCCCAGGTCAGCCTGGATGGTGACCCTCTATTCATGCCTGCAATGTAGGTGGGATGACAGGTGCACACTACCACACCCAACTTATTGAGATGAGCTCTCACTGACTTTTTGCCTGAGCTGGCCTTGAACTGTGAACCTCCCAATCTCCACCTCCCAAGTAACAGATTATAGGTATGAGCCACTTCAGGCTTCAAAAGTATTATTTAGTTGCATGCAATATTGTTTTAACCATTATTTTTTTCTTCATTTCCTTTTAGTGGCTTCTATTTTAAAAACTGTATTCATCATTCACATAAATATGGGTCTCTGTTAATAACAGATTCAAAGGTCTTTGAGAAGATAAGGAATTCATTTGACTATTAATTTCAGCAATGAGTCAGGCTATGTCTGTGCTTAAGAACCCTGGTCTTGGAGTATAGTAAATGAAAGTCTGGACACTGTTTGCACAATTTAAGCATTATGTGACTTTGGGAATATTATTAAGGATCATTGTACTCACTGGTAAAAAAATTGAAAATGGTGTCTATCTCACATTTATTGTGAGTTAAAAATAAATAATAGAATCAGTAATGATAATGCCTTACCCCATACTGAGTTTTCCATTAATGGACTGTATTAGATTAACTGTGGAGATCAGAATTATTCATGCAAAATCTTCTTGATCTTAAAGTTGCACTTCAATGTTAGTAATAGACAGTGAGAAAGAGCTTTTATAAGAGGAAACCTAGGTTTCTAAGAGATTTCTAAAGAATTTTCAGAATAAAGAAATCTAGTTGTCTATTTTGAAACTGGTAAATTCACTTACCTAAAACTAACCATCTTGCTGAGAAATTATATCCAACGTCTCTGTCATCTTTGAAGATTATCTAGGGTCTACTGAATTTCTTTACCTCAGTTATAATCTTCAAGCATGAGAGGGCCCTTGGCCATTTTCTTTTCTTTCATCTCTGATTCTGCTTGAAATGCTACCAGTGAGACAATCTGCCTGCCAGCTGCTCTTCATGCAGATTTTTACATAATGTAAACAACCTCTCTGTAGGGGCCCTTCAGCAATATGCATTTACTATCTGTCACTACTTACTCTCTATAAAGTCATTTAACATTTTAAGTATTCCCAAACTTTAATCAGCTGTATTACAATGACTTGTAATTTCTGTGCCAATTCATTATTTAGTTAATTAATTCAGGACGCAAGTTTTAAATTACAAATGTCTATAATTCTTTAATCTCAATTTAGAAAAACAATTCAAGAGCTTAATAAGATTTTTTGCATTAGTGATTATTCAAGGAAGAAACTGCCCAGAAAATGGATAGTTTCAGTTTCCTGTAAGATTTCTAGTTGAATAAATCTTGAGAGGTAAGAGAAGAAACCCTAAGTCCTTGTCTCAGTTTTAAAATGTAGAAAGAAACAATATCCAAATATCTATGAATTAACCTTATCTGATGTGTTAACAATACATAATGTTATTTCAGAAAAGTATGCAACTTGTTAGAGTAGATAGCTCATTGCACAGTAACTTGCACACTAGGGCTTTGAAGAATTCCTAATGAAATCCAAAATACTTACAAATCTAGAGGAAATGTAATCTTTTCCATTTATATTCTGAGCAGAGGTGGATTTAAAACAGAAAGGGCTTAATTTCCCTTCCTACTCATCACTATTTCCTATAGAACAAGGCAGATGCCCACAGATAAAGTACAGAATTCTCAGGTTATAATGACAATGTATCAGCCAGCACTCAATGTCCGAATTTTGAATGCATATTAGAAGGAAGGAGATTTCATCAAAAATCAACTGCTAAAGAATGAGTAGATCAAAACTATACACTAAGTAGGTATATAAACAAGATATAAATTCATATTAAGAGCCAAGAATAAGAATCAAGAATCCAAGGGAAGATTAAACAATATGTTAAAAGTCTAACTCAGAAACATGGGAACTGGAGAATCTATCAAGATCTAAAAGTCTGTGTTTGAAGTTTATTGTGTATTATTAATAGGGTAAAATGTCATTATTTGTCAACTTTACAAAGTCTCAGGATAAAGAAGGATTGATGGACACATGGATCAGAAGGACTCCCTGTGGAATCTCTATGTATGAGTGATGGAAACTTAAAGATAAATATCATGAGAAAAGATCTGCTTTGGTAATTTTTTAGAGAAAGTTCTAACAAGTTTCCAAATATAATAAAAATGACAACAAATATAGGTGCTGTGTAGTAGTAATAGCCAAACTTTTCATAATTCATCATATTTGTTTTTTATTTGTTTTTGCTGTGTTTGTCATGGAATATCTTGATTTCATCTCATTTATGTATTTTACTTTTGTCTTTTATTTTGTATCTCCATTATAAAGGAGGTTAGGCATATATATATTTTTTGCTTTATTGTTTTGACTGAGATACTCACCGTTTGCTTTTAATGCTCCCCATCCAGTGACAAACACTTTACTCTTAGGTACGACTTCAAAAGTAGCACTGGGGAGGCAGACTCTGTGCACATCTTCAGAAAATAGGACAGTGGTGGAGAGCTTCACCACAGCGATGTCATCATCATGCTTGTGGGCGGCATAGTTTTCATGAACAATTATTGACTGCACCTTTCTTCTTACCAGCGGAGGTCTTAAGGTTGTTCCAAAACTGACCATCCATAGTTTGGGGTTTTTGTAACTGATCACAGATTAAAAGGAGCACAGTGGGTACATTTCTGATCTAAAGTTTTCCAGGACTCTGAATGAGCATAGGACATAAGTGTGGGAGAAAGTCAATTTTTTAAAGGTGATAGCTGACTGGGACCTTCCCACCTTCTTAATTAAGTCTTCTCCTCTAGGACAGTTTGGCTTTTAACCAGTTAATAACAAATCAGTCTCCTATTATGAAGTGGCTTAAGTTACTCTCCTTGAAGGGAGTTTGTATATTTTTTAATGAAACAACACATTTCTGCCATTTTTGGCTATAAAAATAATACAGATTTAAAATGCAGATTAAACTGATGAAAATATAAATAAATATTAGACATATTTGCCTATATATACCCCTACAGATACACACTTATCCATAATTATGTACAGTTATATAAATTTATGTACAGCTATGGAGAGAACGAGATAGAGGGAAATAGAAAATAGGCAGAGAAAAAAGTTGGGGCCGTATTTTAGATATTGTTTTCTCATGCTTCTTTTCCATTGTGCATTTTATCCAGAATATTTTACCATTTTATTTTACTAAGGTAACTGTGTATCTTTATTATCCCCAAAATTCTCATATGCTAAATCTTTAAAAAGGCATGCAAAGAATAAAAATATAGTACCAAAGATATTTGCTTAAGATAATCAAGTGTGAATTGTAGGTTGGGATATTATTAACAGAGCTTTTTAAAAAAATCCATGGCATATCTCAGGAAAACTGCTGATCCTGTTTAAGTTTTGACAGTGTTGGCTTGTTCCTAATGAAAACTGAGATTGTTGGAGCATATATTTTCAGTTGGTGTTGAAGATAGTCACTTTAATTTTTCACTGTTCTTCAATAATTGTCACTTCTCACTAAGATTGTGGAGAGACATGAGTATCATGGGAAGGACTAAGATGTTCATGAAGGAAATGAGAAAGAGATAACAACATCAAGGTGAGAGAAAAAGGTGACACTATTGATCCTGTGGGTGTAGACTGAGGACTTACATGTCAAAACAGTGAGCTGCAGTCAGGAGCCACTCCTCACTAATCAGAGATGCACCACAGAAGTGGACGCCATCTACCTGCAAGCTTGCTTGCCATGGCCAGTTAGCTTTATCTGCAATTTTGCTGTTAGCAATTCTTTCCGTGTATGGGTACTCCATCCCTAAACCACAACCTGTCAGAAGAGAATAAGATGGTTGTTTCTGGGTGGTTATAAGCATGTCTAGGTATAGCTAAGAATGGAAACATTTATAGATGTCATTTACCTTAAAAGTTTATTGAAAGCAAATGCACACACACACACACGTTACTCTACTATATATATATATATATATATATATATATATATATATAATCATATATACATAAATGATTATTCACATTAATAAAGTATGAGTATTCCTGTTAGTAAATAATTAATCACACTTTAAAATTATTTAACACTTTTTTGGTGCATTTGAAGATATTTCCTTTTAATTTTCTTCATATCTCTGTAGGTCATGTTTTTACATAGAGTGGTTTACTCCAGTGATATTTGGCATTTTTAAGTGATAAATGTACACTATTTATTGTAGCAAACATCATTTTTTATTCTTTTAATGTTCTTTACATTTCTATAGCATAAATACCAGTTTCCATATTAAAGTTAGTGGATGCCATTGAACTCAAAGCAAAGTTTTCTACTATAAATAAAGCCAAATATAGATAAATCTTTAAAAGATACTAGAAAATTGTTAAAGAAGTTCTCAGTGAAGCATGCTGTGGGGAAGAGAAAATATTTCCAAGAGTCCATATAAACATTCTGACTAGTAGTGAACTTTTCCCTTTGGGAGAATTAAATTACATATCTCTTTAGAGATACTGTATATGTTTGGGAAAGAGTAAACATGGGAACAGAGAAAGGCTAATAGTGCTGTAATTGTATTCTTTAATTTATAAACATCTTAGTGATATCCTTGAACTTACAGCTGTTCAGAATATGCTCTGCTTGTGTTTCATGCATTTCTGGAAAAAAATAAAACAAAAAATCATTGCTTGGCAATGGAACTGTTAAAATTTAAAATACTATGTCCATGTGATGTGAATTTTTCTGATTGGTAAGAACTGCATTAGCCAAGAAATTCTTAATTTAAAGCCAATTGAATACATTTCTATAAATGGGAAAGTATTCTAGCAAACCCTTCTGACTACATGTGGACTCCAGAAAAATCCTTGTTCATGGCTATAAAATCACTGGCATAGAAAGAGATATTGTTAGTCAAAAGAGAGATTGCATCAAGTTAATTACTGTCATACCAATTCATTAAAACAGAAGTTAAACAAGAGGTCTAGAACCACTTTTGCACATATACTATTGTATGTCTGGAAGCTATTTCCTTTTGTCATCGTTTGCATGGTGGTGAATGGTAAGACATTGAAAGCATCTCAGAAGACTGGCATCTTGGTTTGGTTCATAGATGTTCCTGTACAATCAAAATCCACCAGTAGCCTATTTAGTCCTCAAAGCATGCTATTCTGATAGTCATTTATTTTCATAAAATAAAATAAAATAGAAAAATGTCTTATCTGTAGCTATTCTCCCAAATGACTTGAATTATTCCTTATGCCAGCCAGATCCATATGGGTTAAGATGAAAGCTGGTCTAGAGTGCAAATTAATGGGTCTGTAATTTAGATCAGACTGTAAAGGAGAACACTGAGTTCATCTGAAGTGAACTATGCTAAGTGACTTTGAATAAATCCCTTAGGATTAGGTTTCATCAATAATAATAATAAACAACAACCCTCTAATGGCTTCCCTGCCTTTAGAATAAACTCAGGTTTCTTACCTGGCCCTGTGTATGACATAGCCTGTATTTATGTTGTTGGTGTCCTGTTGAACCACTCTACTGGCATGGTTAAGAGAACTAGTTCTTGGGCATTACAGACCTCAAGCTCTCATCTACAAGTTTCTTTTTATTCTTTCTGATGTTGGCCAAAGCAATAATATAATTTTGTCTTCTATTAATATATAATAGCTGCTCTAGCACTCTGAAATAGTTTTGGGGAAAAGTACTAAGGGAAGATTTATTGGTAACTTGTAATTTTGTATAGTCAATCTTCTAATCTCATTTCACAGTTTAAACAAGTTCTGATAAAGCATGACAACTTCATAGTTACTTCATAGATTAACAACAGTCTGGGAATTATAATAAACTTGTTTAATTTCATACCTCCAACTTCTATCAACCAGCTTATTATGTATGCAATAAAATGAGATAGTGCATTTATGCTTGAGATAGGGCCTATCATGGTCTGGCATCTCACTTCTCTTTCTGCCCACTTTGTATCCTGGGCCAGATCTGTCCTGAATGCAACAGGAAAGATATGGGAGAATAATCTAAAAAGCCAAATCTCCTACCATGTGAGGTCATATATTGTGGTTCATGTGACCATACCTTTTTCTTGTTCTAGATTCAAATTGGAGAGAGAGTTGTAAAAGACAGAGCCAGCCTTTAAGATCACTGCATTGGTAGTAGAGTATAGATTTTATTTTTTAATCTCATGTTTGCTTTCTAAATTATTAACTATAATAAAAGAAAAAAAAATAGTATTTCTTGCCTCTAAGATAAGGTAATGAAGTATCTATCGTCAAGAAGCTCTCGTTTGATTTCAGTTTCTCATGCAAAATGTTATCACCTTCTCTTTTAATGATGTCAGCATTGTTAGATGGAAATTTAAATTTAAGCAATATGTTTGCTTTCAAACCACCATTACTTGCCCTGAAAAACAGACACCAAAACAAGTGAGATCATAGCTATAGTAATTATTACATTATGTCTTAACTTAAATATTACTTACATATTCAAGAAAATACAACATAATATATTTTATTGTCATGATTTTCCCCTTTATATATTACATGGAGTTAATACCTAGATTATTCCCTGCTTATAAAACTTGATCACATTTAGGCTAGGCATGGTGGCTAATACTTTAATCCCAGGTACTTGGGAGGTAGTGATTAGGAGGATCATGGACTTAGACAAGTCCAGACAAAAAAAGTTATCAAAACTCCCATGTCAATCAATAAACTGGGCATGGGGGTGCATGCCTATCATCTCAGCTCCATGGGAAGTATAGATAGGAGGACTGCAGTCCCAGGACAGCTAGGGCAAAAACTTGAGAACTTATCTAAAAAATAACTGAAGCAAAAAGGACTGGGGCATGGCTCAAGTGGTAGAGCACCTACCTAGCAAGTGCAAGGCCCTGAGTTCAAATCCTAACACTGTCATCAAAATAAACAACAACAACAACAAAAAGAAACCCAACCCAACTTGATCATATTCAGGGAATGGAGAAATCTTAGTAATTCCAGAATTTTTCAGGAAAAATAAATCAAAAGTGCTTGTTAAATCCACCAACTTTATATGAATATCAAACACATATGAATATGTATCACTGTATTTAAAAAATTCATAAAACCTATCTATTTTTTAAAATGTAAATAAGATTGAGAGAAATAATTAATGATTAAAAGAATCTTTAATTAAAATACAAAGCTTTGACTTTAAAAGGATAACCAGTAGAGTTATTCCTTATTACACAAGAAACTCTCCCATTATAAATATTTTATAGGAAGAATAGTAATGTCATACTTGTTTTATGAGTATATTTAAGATCTTCTACACACAAAGAATATAATTGAAGAATAACTAAATAATACATTTTTTTGCATTATTCAAATTGATTAGTTGTGATTACCTAAAGTTGTAAACATGAGATTTGATGTAATGATGCTTTAAAATGGATCTTTGAAATATCTTATCTATCTGAGAAAAGAAAAAAAAAACAACAGAATAGAACTTTGTTAACTATGAATTTTGCACATTTCAGTACCTCACAAAATGCCTTATTTGGATCTTGCTATGATATATATATCATTTACTTCAATGTTTCTTTATAATTATCCCCCAAAAGCTCATTTGTGCCTAATCTTACTGTCATAAAATCATCCCCATAATTGGATATTGAAATTTAAACAACTTGCCACTTCTTCAAAGATGACCAATGTAATGAGTTGAATTAAGCTAGGTTTTCAACCACCATTATAAAATATACAAGGAGTTGTAGGTGCAGAGATTGTCTATGAAAGTTTAATATGTGTGAGTTCATCAGCCATTCATAATTCAGTATCTCTCAAGCTTGGTTATCCATCTCATGGATGTAATGGCAAGATCTTTTTTTTAGGCTTCAGTGAAATTGTTTAGGTCAAGTTTTCATCCTGTGGTAAATGGGGACGAGAGGAGGATGTACATTTGTTGGGCACTTCTCTAAAATCAGTTACTTATCAAGAGAAGTACCTTAAATGTCACTTAAGAATCATTGTAAATGCCATTTGTGTGGCACTTTAGACTTCCTACATAGGATAATTGCTGTGTAGTATAAACTCCAAATCAAATTACTTCTCAGTAAAACCACAGCTTGTTACAGAATCTGTGGTCTCACAAGCCTGTTCATTACCACTGACTCATCAGCTGGCTTGTCAGAAAAAAAGGCTTATCATAAGTCAAACTCAGTGAACATGAGTCTTCACAGCTAGTTTCACAAATCAGAAGAGAAAAGCTGCCAAATTGTGAAAGAGGGTTTACATCAAATTTGTGCTTTTCACTCATCTAATTAATTTATGAAAGTTTCTTCAGTGAAATGTTCTATGAGAGATTGGTGAGAAATATATTAAGAAATCAATAATTGTTAAAAAAAATAGTAAAGTGTTTTCCTTCTAACTTGTTTGAAGGGATTTTTTTAAAGAAACAGTTTTACATACATAAATGTATTTATGTGACAAAACAAATACATATATTTGTAAAAAAAAAAGCAACCATTATACAAAAGTGTAAAGAAAACATCAAAATCACTTTCAAATTACTATCTAGAGAACTTGATTAGTTACATTTTTGGTATATGTATTACTATATTTAACATATATGCACATTAATTTTATCTTTCTATCATATATTATAGTCTGGATTATTGAACTGCACAAGAAATCTATAAAATTCGATGGGTTTTAATGTTTTCTTTTAAGAAAAATTTTACTACATCTGTAACCTATATCTAAATCAGATATCAGTAAAGTAAAACCTGTAGGTCAAAATCTGGCCTGTATATTTTTGTATTGCCCAGGATCTAAGAAATGTCTCCACATTTTTTCACACTTTTAGTAGTTGAAAAAAAGTCAAAAGAAGAATATTTTCTGGCTCCTAAAATTTCCCCAAATTCAAATTTCAATGTTTATAATAAAGTTTTAGTTTGTTCATATATTGTTTGTGGTTGTTTTCACACTATATTGACAGCTCTGAGTAGTTGTACAGAAACTGGATGACTTTTAGAAAATACTTAATATTTTTCATTTCACAAAAAAATTTTCTGACTCCTGTTCTAAATTTATGCACTTCCCTTTTTTATGTTGCTTTCACCAATAGTTTAGGATGCAAGACTATAACAATGAGTTGATCATTTAGTTGCCAAGTCATCTCCTTGATGTGTATTTTTAAGGTCCTACAATGTGATAGACAACCATGAGAGGCATCAGAAATATAAGAAGACTTAGCACCAGCATAAATAAATTCACAAGTTTAGAAGGGACAGAGACATCTGCAATAATAATGTTGTAAAGTGGTGTGTGTTCCAACAGAGGGATATGAAATTTCTGTGAGAGTATTAACGTTTATTTAGATATTCTTTTTTTTGTACTTTTTATTCCCTATATCTATTAATCATAAAAATTATTCTGAGAAATGGGTGAAATTATCCACAATTTGTAATCGCATCTTCAAGGAATCACATAACTTTTCCAAAGTTGTTGGAATGATGAATAAAAAAAAATCCAATATGGCAACTAGGGTGCAGAAGCAGACAGTGTGAGCTCCGTGAATCCTAAACCTGTTGAGATGCTGGAACCACACTTGGTGGAAATAAAGCACCAAGAAGAATCAAAACTTCGACATCCTGAACCCCTAGCCTGTGGAAAGCTTCTCCACATCATGTTACAGTGAGAAAACAGGTAGGCTACTGCTGCCACCAGCCACCAACTCCAAACTTGCTTGGGAGATACTCAGCAGACCAAACAAGTGAGTGCCAAGCTTAACACAGTATTCCCTGAGTCACCCCTGGGATAAACCAGCATAGCCCCCTGGACAGACTGACCTCCCACAAAAAAAAATACAAAAACAAAACAATAAACAATGAACTGAAAACTAGCACATAGTAGAGGGGGTGGAAATGCTGAAAGCACACCAGAGAAGTAGGGAGTGGCAAGGAGCTAATCTCCCTGCTAACTATCAATAAACAAACAGCTGGAAAGGCAGAAAGGCCAAAAGTGGGCAGGTGATAAGCCACTGCCTGAAGTACGGCAGGTAGCAGACCAGAAAACTCATCCACTGAGCCAGTGAGCAACACCCAAAGACAAACAGCTCTGCAAAATTGAAAAACAAACAATGAACCATCACAACATGCTGACAGCAGGGTCCAGCTGATGGATCACTGACCTTGCCCCAGAGAAAGGGGACAAGGCAAAGAAATAAATCCCCAGCAAACAAGCACAGCGAATTCCAAAGCAGGACAGCTGGTGGACTACAGAGCTGATCTCCTGAACCTGAGGACAGCATGCAAACTTAAACTGTCACACCTCACTGATGGAGGAGCTGACCAAAGAGGTGCCACTGAAAGACAAAACAAACAAACAAAAAAACACACTACCCATAAGCCAACCACCTAGTGAGATTACAACAGAGCTTCTGCTTAAATACCAACACCAGGACTGGATGCTGGAGGAGAAACAGCAGAACTTAAACCAAGATTGAAATTCTATTATTCCTGAACCTGGATTTTGTTTGTTTGTTTTGTTTCTTGTTTGTTTGTTCATCTCTCCCCATTGATTTCTTTGGGTTTTTTTGTTGTTGTTGTTAGTTTTATTACTGTGAATTAGTTAATACTAAATTACACCCAGACCAGAGACAGAAATAGCACACACACACTTAGCTAAAAACCCAATATAGCCACAAAACAAAATTAAACCAAGGGAAAGAAACCAGGTGACGGAAACCACCAACTAGCCTATGAAGAACATAGTTGCACGGTACCAAGTGGTACAATGGGAATAAGAAAAAGGAATGGAGACCATTCTCCACCCCCCAAAATAATTTAATACAGTATTAAATATTATGCAGGGAAATGAAGAAAACAGATACCCAGTTCCAGACTCCAACAAAACAGATAAATGATGCCAAGGAACCCAATGATGTCCACAAGAACAACCTTAAAGAAGAAATCCTGCAAGTAATCACTGAGAATTTTGTGGAGATGTTACTAGACATGTTTAACCAAAATGTACAAGAGGCACTCAAGAAATTTCAAGACACCAAAAATAAAGAATATGAGAAGACACAGAAACAAATACATGAACTCATAGGAGCCCTAAATAAACACCAAAGTGAAACACAGAACACTATAAATGGAGAGATAAATGAATTAAAGATGAAAATAGACAATATTAAAGAGGAATTGAGCCATGATAGGGAAAACCTCAGAAAAAGAGTGAAACAGAAACACAAAACACAGTGGAGGGCAACCCAGAAGACTAGAATAAGCAGAAGACAGAATCTCAGAACTTGAAGACAAAATGGAAATTAAAGGAAAAACTGAAGAGCTATTAGTCAAACAGCTCAACACCTGTGAAAGGAATATGAAAGAACTCACTGACTCCAAAAGACCAAACCTGAGAATCATGGGCATTGAAGAAGGAGAAGAGGTGCAAGCAAAAGGGATTCATAACATATTCAATAAAATAATAACAGAAAATTTCCCAAATCTAAAGAAAGTTATGCCCATTCAGTTACAGGAAGCCTCCAGAACACCAAACAGACCTGATCAAAATAGAACTACCCCACAATATATTATCATTAAAGCAACAAGCACAGAGAATAGAGAAAGAATATTGAAGGCTGTAAGAGAGAAAAATCAAATAACATACACAGGCAAATCCATCAAAATCACAGTAGATTTCTCAATAGAAAACTTAAAAGCAAGAAGGGCATGGAATGAGGTATTCTGGACACTGAATGAAAATAACTTCAACCCTATAATACTCTACCCAGCAAAACTATCATTCAAATAGAGGAAGCAATAGAAGTCTTCCACAATAAGCAGAAACTGAAACAATATATGACCACCAAGTCACCACTACAAAAGATTCTTCAAGGAATTCTGCACACAGGAAATGCAAGCAAACAAAACCATGAGGACAAGCAGCACCAAACCACAGGAGAAGAAAAGACAAGGAATAAGAGAGTAACATTGATTCAGCTGGACACAATCAAACCCTTAAACAACAAAAACAACTAAATGATAGGAATCACCACATACCTACCAATACTAACTTTGAATGTCAATGGACTCAACTCCCCCATCAAAAGACACCATTTGGCAAACTGGATTAAAAAGGAAGATCCAACAATCTGTTGTTAACAGGAGACCCATTTCATTGACAGAAACAAGCACTGGCTTAGGGTGAAAGGCTGGAAGAAGACTTACCAACTCAATGGCCCCTGAAAACAGGCAGGGGTAGCAATACTTGTTTGGGACACAGTAGACTTCGAGCTTACATTGATCAAATGGGATAAAGAAGGATATTCCATGCTAATAAAAGGAAAAATAGACCAAAAAGAAATGACAATTATCAACCTAAATGCACCCAATGTCAGTGCATCCAATTTCAACAAACATACTGTGAAGGACCTAAAAGAATATATAGACTCCAACACATTGGTAGTGGGAGTCTTTAATACCCCACATCACCAATAGATAGGTCATCCAAATAAAAACTCAATTAAGAAATTCTAGAACTAAATCACACCATAGATCAAATGGATCTAACTGATGTCTATAGAATATTTCATCCAACTTCTGCACAATATACATTCTTCTCAGGAGCCCATGAAACTTTCTCCAAAATTGATCATATCTTAGGGCACAAAGCAATCCTCAGCAAATATAAAAAAATAGAAATAATCCCATGCATTCTATTTGATCACAATGCATTAAAACTAGAACTCAACAACAAAAACAACAGCAGAAAATATGCAAACAAGTGGAAGCTGAAAAGCACATTTTCAATGATTAGTGGGTAATTGATGAAATAAAAGAAGACATTATAAGTTTCCTGTAAGTTAATGAAAATGAAAACATGACCTACTGGAACCTATGGGACACAGCACAGGCAGTCCGGAGAGGAAAGTTTATAGCCATGATTGCATATATTAAAAGGACAGAATGATCTCAAATCAATGACCTAATGCTACATCTCAAACTCCTAGAAAAACAAAAATAAGCAAAACCCAAAACAAGCAGAAGGAGAGAAGTAATAAAAATTAAGGGCCAAAATTAATGAAATAGAAACAAACAAACAAAAAATACAAAGAATTAATGAAACAAAAAGCTGGTTCTTTGAAAAAATAAATAAGATTGATAGACCACTGGCAAATGTGATTAAGATGAGCAGACAAAAAACCCAAATCAGTAAAATAGAAATGCAAAAAGGGAGATAACAACCACTATGGAAATCCAGGAAATCATCAGAGACTACTTTAAGAACATATATTCCAATATATTTGAAAATTTTGAAGAAATGGACAAATTTCTACTTATGACCATCCTAAACTGAACCAAGAGGATATCAATCACCTGAATCAATCTATAACACATCATGAAATTGAAGCAGCAATAAAGAATCTCACAAAAAAGAAAAGTCCAGGACCTGACAGATTCTCTACTGAATTCCATCAGACTTTTAAAGAAGAAATAATACCAACTCTTCTTAAACTTCTCTATGAAATAGAAAGGGAAGGAATAGTGCCTTACTCATTCTATGAAGCCAGTATTACACTCATCCCAAAAACAGACAAAGACACCTACAAAAAGGAGACCCATAGGCCAATCTCCTTAATGAACTTCAATGCAAAAATTCTCAATTAAATAATGGCAAAGAGAATCCAACAACATTTCAGAAAGATCATTCACCACAATCATGTCGGCTTCATCCCAGGGATGCAGGGGTGGTTCAACATAAGCAAATCTATAAATGTAATACAGCACATTAATAGAAGCAAAGACAAAAACCACTTGATCATCTCATAGGTGCAGAAAAAGCCTTTGATAAGAACCATCATGATAAAAGCTCTAAGAAAACTAAGAATAGAAGGACTGTACCTCAACATTGTAACAGCTATATATGATAAACCTATAGCCAACATCATACTTAATGGAGAAACACTGAAACCATTTCCCCTAAAATCAGGGTGCCCACTATACCCACCCTTTTCAAAATAGTCCTGGAATTCCTAGCCTGAGCAATTAGGCAAGAAGAAGAAATAAAATGAATACAAATAGGTAAAGAAACTGTCAAAATATCTCTTTTTGCAGATGACATGATCCTATATCTTAAAGACCCAAAACACTCTACCCAAAAACTCTGAGACACCATAAACAGCTACAGTAAGGTGGCAGGATACAAAATCAGCTTCCAGAAATCATTAGCTTTTCTATACACAAACAATGAATAAATTGAGAAAGAATATATGGAAACAATTCCATTTACAATAGCCTCAAAAAATAATCAAATACCTAGGAGTAAACTTAAAAAAGGATGTGAGTGACCTCTACAAGAAGAACTACAAACCCCTGAAGAAAGAGATTGAGGAAGACTACAGAAGATGAAAGATCTCTTGTGCTCATGGATTGGTAGAATCAACATAGTAAAAATGGCTATACTACCAAAAGCAATATACATGTGTAATGCAATTCCCATCAAAATACCAATGACTTTCATCATAGAGATTAAAAAATCTACCTTAAAGTTCATTTGGAAACACAAGAGACCACTAATAGCCAAGGCAATACTCAGCAAAAATAGCAATGTTGGAGGTATCACAATACCCGAGTTCAAACTATATTACAAAACAATAGCAATAAAAATGGCATGGTACTGGAACCAAAACAGACATGAAGACCAGTGGAACTGAATAGAAGACCCATATATGAATCAACTCAAAATGGATCAATGACCTTAATATCAGACCCAAAACTCTAAAGTTAGTATAGGAAAAACCAGGAAACAATCTGTAAGTAATACGTATGGGAAAGGACTTCCTCAATAGAACCCCAGGAGCTCAGCAACTAAGAGAAAGGATGAACAAATAGGACTTCACAAAATTGAAAAGCTGCACAACAAAAGAAATGGCCTCTAAACTGAAGAGACCACCCAGAGAGTGGGAGGAAATATTTGTCAGCTATACATCAGACCAAGGACGATAACCAGAATATACAGGGAACTTAAAAAACTAAAATCTCCCCAAATCAATGAACCAATAAAGAAATGGCCAATTGAACTAAACAGAACTTTCTCAAAAGAAGAAATTGAAATGGCAAAAAGACACATGAAAAAAAGCTCACCATCTCTGGTCATAAAGGAAATCCAAATCAAAACCACACTAAGATTCCACCTCACTCCTGTTAGAGTAGTTATCAACAAAAACACCACCAACAACAGATGTTGGTTAGGATGTGGGGAAAAATGAACCCTCATACACTGCTGGTGGGAATGTAAGCTAGTACAACCACTCTGGAAAACAATATGGAGGCTTCTTAAAAAACTAAACATAGATCTGCCATATGATCCAGAAATCCCAATCCTGGGGATATACCCAAAAGAATGCAACTCAGGTTACTCCAGAGGCACCTGCACACCCATGTTTATTGCAGCACTATTCACAATAGCCAGGTTATGGAAACAGCCAAGATGCCCCACTACTGACGAATGGATTAAGAAAATGTGGTATTTATACACAATGGAATTTTACTCAGCCATGAAGAAGAATGAAATTTTATCATTCTCAAGTAAATGGATAGGACTGGAGAACATCATCTTGAGTGAGGTTAAAATCATATGTTCTCCCTCGTATGAGAACTTTAGATCTAGGGCAAATACAGAAATGAGGTTGAACTTGGGTCACATGATAAGGGGAGAGCACACACAGGAGGTATGGGGATAGGTAGTAAACCCAAAACATTTGATGTCCCCACTGCAGAGGAACTAATACAGAAACCTTTAAGCAACAGAGGTCAATATGTGAAGGGATCAGGAACTAGTAAAAAGGTCAGTTAGATATGAATCAACTTGGGTTGTAACACATTTGTACATGGAAGCAATGCTAGGAATCTCTTTGTATAGCTATGCTTATCTCAGCTAGCAAAAACACTATGTCTTTCTTATTATTGCTTATGTCTACTCTTCAACAAAATTGGAGAAAAAGGCAGAACAGGTTCTGCCTAGAAATGAGGGGGGTGGTGGGGAGAGGGAGAGAAATAGCTCCATCAATGTATGCACGTATGAATAAATGAATAAAGAAAAAAGATTGATGAATAAAACTGAAATATACATCTAGATGTTTCTGACTTCAAATATTAGGCTGTCTCCAATTCAATATATTGTTTCCTAAACAAAATTTTCTATACTATGCCTTGGTTTCTTTCCTTTTAATCAAATTTTCCTTAGGGTATGTTTTTGAAAAGACATGCCTGTCCCACACAGTTGCACTTTTCAGTTTATTTCATCAGTTTCTGCTTTTGACTACAAAATGACTAAAGAAATATTTTTGAACCTGGTAAGAATGATCTGCCAGCTTTGATCAGCGCTGTACTCAACAGAGGCTGTGGATAAAAGTGAAGTCTTCAATGGAAGAGAGCTGGTCTGTGTGATTCTGTCTGTGTGATACTTAGACATTTGACATAAGTTGCCTAACTGGAAATGTACCAGAGTCATCCATAGAGTTGACTCTAATAAATGGTTTATGGTTATGTTTGTGACTGAATGACTGAGTTACATGTTTATATAATTCTAATAATCTGTTTTATATTTGAACTATATGCTTTTCTGTTGTGCTTGTGTTTTTTTTAGTCTCTAGTGCAATTATCTTTTGTTTATTATATTTTTCTAGATTTCCTGAGATAACAATAGTTAGAGGCTTAGCAAATAAAACACAGTTGAATTTGAATTTCAGAGATATAAAGAATGATTTTTTAAATACAAATGTGTTTCAAGTATTGCATTAAGATTTTTTTAGAAGGCTATGAAATTAAAACTTAAACTGGGCATTGGATATGCTGTCTTGCAACCCTATCATAAATGCTCTCAGCTTGCCTATTCATATCCACAAAATTGAAATATAGATGTAAGTGTTGATCTGTCTCCAATTCAATATATTGTTCCATGTTATAAAATATTCTATATTCTGCTCTGTTCTTCCTATACTAATAAAATTTTCCAGAGCAGAAAGAAGGCCAACAACTCTCAGACTTACCTCATTTTTGATTTTTAGTTTCAGGTCAGTACTAATTTTTGAATGTTCTACAGAAAACTCAGGATTATATTCAATACTGGGGATCTGGAAGGAGGCCTTGAAGTAGTGAGCTTTCTGATCTGGAAGGAAGAATGGAAATGGATGATTTCTGCCTAGTTCATTTGAGTCGTACAAACATAACAAGTAGAAGACATGAAAATAAAAAGTCATTGCTATGGTTTGTATATGATTTATCCCATAAAGATTTATGTGCTGGAAGTTTTGATTCCAATGTGATGGTATTGAAAAGTGATGGGACCTAGTTTAAGCCGATTGGATCATGGCTACCCCTGTGAAAAGATTAATTCTGGTCTTGTAGAGTGGGATAGTTCTCACAGGATTGGATGAGGTTTTGTGAAAGCTACTTCTTATAAAAGAGCAAATCTGGCCCCTTCCTGTTTCTTAATTCATCTCTTGACATATAGATTCTTTGGCAGACACTGTTCACCTCAAACATGTATTCCTGTTATATATCTACCATGTTGTGATACAGACAGGCAGCTCTCATTAGATGTAGTCATTCAATTAAGCTTCTAGAACTATGAGCCAAAATAAGCCTGGATTCTTTATAAAGTACCCAGCTTCAGGTATTTTGTTATTAAAAAAACTAAACAGATTGCCATATAATTGATGAACACCTGAAAAGTAAATTTCTAATAGCTATGTTCAATATCTCCCCCTACCTTTTTAAAAAGGTTACATTTTCATAGTTACCGTGGTTGTCAGTCCTGTCCTGACACGTAATTATTACCGATTAGTGGTAACTCAGACATTCAAGCTATTAATCAAATGTGGAATGTAACAGATTCTCATATGGTGACCACAAAGTTAGAATTTCCACTAAAATAAATTTCTTTTGTCAGAATATTGAATATTATCATGCCACAAAATATATAGCATGTGAAATTTTTGCATTGTTCAAAAGATAATAATATGTGAAGCACACTAGACTTTAAATGCTAAAGGATTAGTGTTTCCCAAATGTGTATACATTTATTTGAATGAAAATTTTCATTCTGAAATACAAAAAATATTTTAAGGTTTTGAAATAAATTGAGTGAGTCTTCAAATTACCAAAATAATAAATGAAGTAAACACTTACCATATGCCAAAAAATAAACAAGGAGGCCAATAATTACTGCCAGAGCCAACACAATAGCTGTGGTAATAAGGATTATCATCCATGGCTTTAATGAACTTGTTCTTCCACCCAGTATCCCTGGCCTTTTGAGAGAAAAACACATGTTAAAAACGAATAGGGGCTGGAGATATGGCTTAAGTGGTAAAGTGCCTGCTTATAAAGTATAAAGCCTGAATTCATACTCCAGTATTGTCAAAAACAACAACAATAACAAAAACAACAACAACAAAAAACCCACTAGGTATTTGACCAATGGCTCACACCTGTAATCCTCACTACTTGGGAGGCTGAGATTGGAAGGATTGCAGTTCAAGGCCAGACCAGGGAAATAGTTCATGAGATCCCACCTCTAAAATATCCAGAGCAAAATGTACTGGAGGTGTGGCTCAAGTGGTAGAGCTCTTGCTTTGCGATTGTGAAGCTCTGAGTTCAAACTGCAGTCCCACCAAAAACAGCAACAAAACCCAAATAAGACTCTAGCTCTCTTCTTTTTGGTGTACTTTTTTTCCTGGAGGTTTTAGTTAGTTAATATTGCATTTGGTAACATTTAAATATATTTCTGTATTCCATGTTAGAAAAGTACTCTCAAAATTCAATTAACATTTAACTTTACATTTTGACTTTAAAAAGTCAGTATCATACTGCAGTTGACTACTATATCATATATTTTCTGGCCCATAATACTAGTTGTTCTGGGTTTTTTTTTTTTTTTTTTTGGTAAGTGAACTAATGCCATATATTTGTTTCATGTGCTTCACAGTGAACCTTGGACCGCGACAGCATCTTGGTCACTCTTCTCATTCTGTAATGTATCTGCAGAGGTTCCTGGATTCTTGAAACCCCAAAATTAGATATTGAGAGAGCCAGAAGAAGTACTTACACTATTGGAGCTTTTTTCTTCCCCTCACACTTTTATACTTAAGCCCATAGCCCCCATGTATAGGATATGCAATGTTAGTGCCTATAAAGAACATCTAACATAGGGAAGAGTTAAGAAAATAACATAGAAGACTTTTGACCCTAGAAGTCTGATGTGATGTAAGTATCTATTACATAGAGTTATAATATTTCAAGTCTGTAACTTTAAAATGATTTTACATAAACAAAGCCACATTTATTTGAGTAACAATCAATCTAACTAAAAATGTTAAGACAATAATAGTATCAGTGGAATGCAAATATGGCTAAAAACATGAAAGAGGAATGCAAATAATTGACATTTGGGAAACCCTTGTGGGAGCAGGGTAATGTGACAAAGTTCCCTTTTGTCTCAGTATCAGGGCCTATAGTCTAAAAAATTCAGAGAAGTTATAGAATTGAAGCAGGCTAGGATAGCACTGATATGCATTGCCCAGAGAGATCTAATACATAGGGGACCTGGACAGGAATAGGGTTCTGAGAGTTCTATTCTTGTTCTGAATATGGTTAGGATGTTTCCTATTCTGTCACAATTACACATGATTTACCTTCCCTGGGACTTGTACCCAGTAATGGTAAAATAGAAAATAGGCACCAACTAACCAATTAAAGAGGTCAGTTGGGTTCTCCCTTTGGGCAGCAATGATCTAGAAGGAATGAGGATCTCCTGATATACTTGGGGCTGGGCAAAGGAGAATCTAGAGGCTATTTCCTGCCTCATACTCATCAACTTGAGCACTAATTCTGAGTTCAGCTGGGATTCTGAAAAGATATGGGTTACTATGGCATTGACTTTTAGGTTGATGGCAAAAGAAAAGCATTGCAATTACCAAACATCTGAAGTATCTTTAGGAGAGCTAGAATGAAGTTGGACATGGGCAAGAGTAGATAAACATATCCATCTCCTTTATTAACAGAAGACTGAGGCAACTATAAACATGTTCAGTTGACATTTACTGAGTTTCTTCTGTATGTCAATCAATCATCTGCTAGAGATTCAATATAATTAAGACACAGTCTCCTATCTTCAAGGATGTGTAATATAGAGACACATAAAGTAATTGCTATAATACAAGTTTTACATGTCATCATGGAATTACGACCAACATGCTATCAAAGATGAGTAGGCACAAATGGTTTTGAACTACAGAAATTGTCATCTACATTGGAGCATGAGGGCTGAGGAAGAGGAATTAATTGGAAAAGGTGACATCTGTCTCAGGAAGAGGGAATAACATAAGCAAAGATAGTTGACATGAGATTTTAGGTTATACTGGAGAAAACAAACTATGCAAATGAGAAGTAAACTTAATTAATACAAGTTTATTAGTTAACTCGGCCCAGATTTATTCAGAATTACTGTGTACAAAGCACAGGGGAATATAGAGGAATATTCAATAGATCCCCCTTTAGAAGAATTTATAGTCTTATAAAGAAGAACAGTATATACAAATTACTACCAGAATTGCAGAAAATTTCTAAGATAATTTCAGAGAAGGAATAATAATTCATTTTCTAAGTATATACTATGAAACTACTTTTTTGATTTTGGTGTTTCTGGGGTTTGAACTCAGAGCCCTGTGCTTGCTAAGCAGCTGAGCCATACCTCCAGCTATAATTTTTTTTAAAGCTTAAAAAAGCTGAATGCATCAATCTCACTGTCTTCCCCCCTGAGTCAGATAACAAATCATAAAGAAGGAGCTTGTTTTGCAACAAAATTCTTATCTTCAAAAGGATGTGGCTAGCTGTTGAATTGTTCCAATTCTACTTCTGGAAACATCATCATGACTGAATAGAGTATTTATCACAAGTGAGAAATTGTTGCTGGATATTTCCTTAACCATGCAGATATATTCTAAAACATTTATTCATAGATTTTCTTTTTCTTTTTGTTTTGTGGTACTGGGAATTGAACTCAGGGTCTTGGGGTTGCTTGGCAAGTCTCTACCACTTGAGCAGTACTCTGAGTTCTTTTGTTTTTCAGGTTTTAGTTTTTTAGTTTGTCTCAGGCTAATTTTGCCTGGGCTGACCTCAAACTGCCATTCTATTGTACCTGCCTCCTGTGAAGCTGGTTTAACAGGTGCATGCCACCATGGCATACATTAAATTTTCTTTTCTTTTTAATTTTTTTCTTAAATATTTTTCTCTGTTTATGTTTTAGCACTAAATTTTAAACAGTGGCTAATTTTAATGGCTGTTCTAGACAGGTGGAAGCTTGTGCTTCATACATACTTGGTAAATATTTATCTGCTACATAAAAGAATGTGTCATAAAGTAGGAGACAGTCATAAACCATTTGCAACTGAAATGGTTGCAGAGTTTTGTTGGAGATGAATTTCTTCATTCATGGCAGGAAGAGACATGAGATTCAGCATTTACCTAAAATCAAGATACAATCACAAGTTTTATTCTTAAATACCACTAAAGGACAATTTTCTCTTTTTTCCTTCTTGGCTTTCTCCTCCTGTAATCCTTCCAATTCAAAGAATTTAATTTTGGTCAGACTATTCCAGTGACAGGAGTAAACAGGTTCACTGTGGTGCAAGAAAATCCACCTTAGAGAAACTTCTGATACACAAACAAAAGAAAAACCACAAATGATCTCATCCATATGGTATTCATGCCACCATGAAGGTCAGCAGTGACCTAACTACCCATTCATCATGTCGGTCTAGAAAATCTTTCAAAAGTCAAAGGATTTTTTCTAAAGCATCCTCATTTTAATCCCTCCCCTATCTTCATTTAAATTCCAAGAGACTCATTATCTAGGCTCTCTCATGGGCAGGTGTTCACTGAAGCAAACCTCAGCAGAATCTCTTCTTACTTTTACAGTGTCAGTCATTTTCTTTCATTATTTGAAAGACCCTGAAAAATGTTGTTTGGCATGGCGATTTAGAGTATAGACTGCACAGCTATCCCACTGGAATTCTTATCCTGGGTTTCCCACTGTTGGAGCTTAGGTGGTCATTTGGCTTCTTGGGTGCCTGGGGTTCTTCATCAGTAAAATTGGAGTAATTATACTCATCTTGTGGGATTATCAGAAAAGCTAAATGAATTACTGTGTGTGTAAGAACACTTAGAAAAGTAACTGAAACATGGTGAGGACTTTGGAGTTTGAGTTATTTTTTTACTATTATTATTCAGGGCATCTCATTTTTTTCAAAAGCAGCTAAGAAAGGATACCCAGGGGTCGTACTTAGATGGAATGTGTAGTGGAAAGAATATTCTGGGTAGTGGATGTCCTGCTCATGAAAGAAATGAAGGCTGGAGCTGGTACGCAGGACTTTGGAATCTGAGGGCCAATACTGAACATAAATTAATACTAGTTTGAGGAACAATTTGGGAGCCTAAAGAAGCCCTACTCATGCCCACCCCATGGATTTTTCCAGCAGATAAAAGAAATTCCAAGCTTGCCAGAAAGGGGATGGCAGAGCCTGAAAGGGAGCCCAGAGTTTCAGAAGTAAGCATTAGGTAGTGAACACATTTGGAGCATCTGCAGAAAAAGAATTACTGGACAAACATAAAGGATATAAAAAAAATGTAAGATAAAACGGAGGGGAACATCTTAGGAGGTTTTGCTTTATTAATAGGAAAAGAGGGAATAACTCAGGAAAATAGTTATTGCCATACAAAAAACAGGGAGTGGTAAGATTATTATTTACAATGGTGGTTTAATAGTGCTGATTATGGTCATACTAATTGTACCACTAGATACTTTGAGACTTTCATAAAATTGGTGACATGGCACAAATACCAGAAGTTATGTATAAGATTAAATGAATTTTTAAATGTTTTTCATGTTAGGACAAGCTGTATGTCTTGTTTTCATAACCCCATATTGTGCAAATAAGAAAGATGAAATATTTCATAACTGTAAAGATGAATCATGTCATAATTAAAATATGGTTAAAATAACTGCTGTTTCAGTAGATAAGAATTCAAAAGAGAATAATTAAGGTTAGAGAATGCAACTTTTCAAAGGTCTTCACATTAATGTAAATTTATTTGAATGTCTAGAAGAAAATATTCCTTGAAAGAAATCTGAGCATGTTGAGATAATTAAAACCTGATAAGAACAAAAGAAAATATATATGCTATTGACCAAGAATATTGAAGACAATAGGCCAGAGGAATTCCTTCCCATTATGTCCACCAGTGTTGCTTGAGCTTTTTGGGTTTTTTTGGTGGAAGGAGGGGGTGGTATATTTATCTGCTTTCTTACTAATGTTTTCAATTATTCATAACTTGTCCTCAGTTGTTTTCCTTTCTATTGTCACTTAACAAATTTTGACCTCTGAGTGAAAGCAGGGCCGTTAGCAGTTATCTTGAGGTATCCTATATTGTTCTGTTGATACTTTATTATAACATTGGTCATATTCTATCCTCTGTCCTATATATTTGTGCCAATGTTCTTGCCTTTCTGTCTACTTTATATGCACTCTCCAGTCATGCCCTGTATTTTGTTATTACCAATATCTAAATTTTTTCCATAATCTAAACTTTAATTATCCAACTTCCATCTTTCCAGATTATTACTATAATACTCTACTTCCATCCTACTGGGACCTATAATTTCACTGACCCTACCACCTTTTTACTGTCTCTTATCCCCCTCATGTCAGCATCATTCTTGCTGCTTAGCAGGAGTTCCATGGTCCCTCATTATACTCATTCTCTGACATACACACTCTCAGAACTGTAATCCTCTCTCACTTTGTCTCAATCATCTAGAAAACATCAAAACACCAGTGGAATACAACTTTCTACTTATTTTGCACTTATCATGGCTGAGAAAGCATGATAAAATACTCTCATAAGTCTTATTTTAAATTCAAGACTACTAGCTGCAAACTGGCTTCCTGACCATGATACTAATTTAGTTTCTCTTTCTCCTAATGTGAAAAAGAATTATTTCATATCTTCTCTTCTCAAATCCCCAATACCTCCTCCATTACCCTACTGAGGAAATGGAAATAATCAGAACAGAGTACGCACAACTTCTACCAACACATCTTCTATCAGTCATGTGGTACTTTTTGGGTCATATCTATTCCTGTGTTTTCCACCTTTCCTATTACAACTGTAAGGAAATATAGGCCCCAAAGTGACCACGTGGAGAGGAGTGATCTGGCCAAGAGATTCTTTATTGCTGGGTGGGAGAGGGAGAGAGCAGAGAGAGCCAAGAGAGAGAGGGAGAGAAGGGTAGGGGCTTAAATACCCCTCAGTGGGACTCAGCATGATCTGATTGATTAGGATCTTATAGTTCATGCTGGTTTGAGGTTGGGGCAGAAGGAGGGTTCAAGCTAGACTTGAGGCAGGACTGTGACCCTGGAAAACAGAAGCTTAAGGGTGCAGTAAGAACTGAAACCTATCGGCGCCATTATTGCCAACAACTACCACAGTGTTTAGCACAATGCTTAGCCCAAGTGGGCAATAAATCCTGGTTATTTCATTGAACAGACATTGCCCTGTTTTCTGCAATGTTGTTGCAATGTAAATGAGTGGGTATAGAACAGGAAGTGCAAGGGTTGGGTTTTAGTCTCCCATCCAAGTACTAACCAGGCCAAAGCCTGCTTAGCTTCTGAGATCAGACCAGATTGGGTATATTCGGGTGGTAAGGCTATAGTCTGGGTTCTAGTCTTATCTTGCTGCAACTGCGCCAAATCACTGAAAAGGATAAATCAAGAATTAAGACAATAGTATAGATAATTGAGATGAAAAGATGTCACATTCTGTTAATTGGCTATATAGTTTTCATGCTATACCACTGATCTGCATAATTCTGTCTAAATAAAATCTATCTCATTTTAAGAATGTTCTAGTTGGATTTGGTAGTGTACACCTGTAATCTCAGCTCTCAGGATGCTGTGGCAGCAATATTGTGAGTCTGAGGATGCCCTGGGCTACACAACAAGGCACTATTTGGAAAAAAAAACACCAAAAGAATGTTCTTCAAACAACAAATGTTGACAACAATGCAAGGAACCCTTATACACTGTTGGAAGGAAGATATATTAGTATAACCACTATGGAAAGCAGTATGGAGGCACTTCAGAAAAATAAAAATAGAACTACCATATGATCCAGCCATACCACTCCCAGGCATATATCCCAAGGAATATAAATCAGGTTATAATAAAAGCACTTGCAAACTCATGTTCATTGCAACATTATTCACAATAACCAAGCTATGGAAACAACACTGATGAAAATGGATTAAGAAAATGTGGCATTTATGTACCATGGAATTTTATTCAGCCACAAAGAAGAAATTTTGATGTTAACAGGTAAATGGATAGAATAGGAAAGCATCATGTTAAGTAAAATTAGCTAATTTCAGAAAGACAAAGAAAGATTGCTTGTTTTCCCACATATGTGGTACATACATCCAAATACAAATACAAACATCAGATATACATATATGAACATGTGTACATATGCTGAACATGTTTCCAAAAGAGGGACTGTTAGAAGAGATTTTGGAAGGAAGAAAAGAATGATAAGGAGTAGATATGTCACATCTGTATAGGTACAAGACACATGAAATATGCTGAAACTGTTGAACAACACAGGGTAGGGGGAAAAGTGTAAAAAAAAATAACGGAAGGGGTTTCACTAATTAAAGTTCAGGTAAAATACTAAGGCAAAACCCCACTGCACAATAGACAGACACTAGAACAATGAAGGACAGGTCTGTAAAACAGGTCATGTTGAGGGAAAGAAATAGCTGGAAGGAGAGGGAAAATGAAGAGGGTAAAGAAGGGTGAACATGGTTGAAGTACTTTCTATACATATTTGAATATAGAACATTGAAACTTCTTGAAGTCATTTTGAGAAGGGGAATGGGAGAAGAGGGAGAATAATGGAGGGATAAACCAAACCGGGATACAAGATATGTACATGTGGAAATGTCACAATGACACCCCTGTATAACAATAAACATATAATATAAACATAATAAAAATATGTTAAAAAAAAGAATAGTCTTTAGATTGTTGTTTTCTCCTTAGCAATATGAGCTTGATCTTTTGCTATTTGCTCCTTTACATTTCCTCATCTCACCTTTATTAAGATATTCACAAAAATTGTATGATTCAGGTATATGATAATATGTTTGATAAATGTATACATTGTGAAATTTTTACCATGACCAAACTAATTAACGTATGTGTCACTTCATAGAGTTGCCATTTTTATGTGTATTTAGTATCTACTCTCTCAGCAAATTTCAACTATACAAAAGTATTAGTTACCATACTCTACATTAGATTTACTGTGTTGCATTGTAATACATGCATTGAGCACTATTATGTGCCAGATATTTGAGAAAAATATTTGAAGGCAATGTTGTAATGTACTATTTAATCCATCAATGGGTTTCAGAGAAAAGGAGTGAATTTTTACATGATATTTTGCCTCTTTCAGGGAATTAATTCTGCATCTCTCACATAATGGTAAACAGAAAATAAACAATTATTTCTCCTTTATTATATTTTTTAAAAATTTGGTCACAGCAGCCTCATCAGTTCGCTAAGGAGAGCCTGTTTGTGTAGGTGAAAGCCTGGTTTATTTTCAGACAAACTTCCTTGGCACTCAAAAGCTATTTGACCTTGCCTCACTTTCTGGAGCCTGAGTTTATTAAAATCCCTATAGCTATAGTGAGGAAGGAAAGAGATAAGAAGTGCTCACTCAATGTTGGTAATTATGATACCTGATTAAAGAAATAGCTGGAACTGATTTCCCCTGCTGAACAATATAAGACAGTATGAAAATAATAACTGTTCTGCTCAAGGCAGTTGAGACACTTTGTAGAGGTCTTGCTGATTTGGGCCATTCCTGTCAGCCTCTGTAATGAAGGGATCTATGTCTGTATAATTCTCTTTTTTCTTTCTTATTAACCTTGCATTTTAGTGTCAAAATACTTGCCAGAAGGTGACTGTATTATTTCAACTAAATATAAATGACACCTGCCTTTATCCAATAAGCTATCTTAGTTCTTGGGAACTCTTTCTTTCTGCATCTGATACATTTACATGATGTAATCAAAGCCTCTTGAGAGTTGTTTTAGAGTCATAAGGCACAGAAAAGGTAGGGAATAGTCCTTTACTGAAGGCTGCCCACTGTTATTCCAAACAGGGTTGGTGAAACAAAGGATGAGGTATAAGGGTGAAATACAGGTCACTCTAATAATTATGATAAGAATTAGTAGCTTTCATTTATCTAGTACTCTACAGTTTAACAGGCTCTGTAACGTCATTCACCCACTATTTATCTGAGTGTCATATGGTAAATATTGTTAGACTAATTTGCCAATTCAGGCTACTGAGGCTAATGAGATTTGCTCAAGAACTTAGACTAATAATTAGTTGAGCCTACCTAATTGTCATGTCTTCTGTTTATTAACATTTTCCTTCATAGCATAGGTTCCAGTGCAGAATTACCGTAGCAGTCACCAGTGGGGCAATTAGAAAAGTAGAACTTGAGAATAGGAAAAATAAATTTTGTGGAGCAGAATTATACTAAGAAGTAATTGTATTATATTCATCCAAGATGCAGTAGATCTGGAAGAATCCAAAGATTTATAAATGTAGTACATGATTGTGATTAGGAGCATTAGTACTATGAGGAGTTGCCATGGAAACCAAGGCCTTAGGTGAAGCTCCCCATACAGTAAGAGAGAAGCACACCTGGGTCACATGGCATATGTCTCAGGACCAGGAGAACACTGACTGAGCTGTGACCTTTCAGGTACCCCAAAGGAGGTGGAGGCCAGGAGACGATCATTTCTCCTGAGAAAGGTAAAACATTTTGGCACTGAGAGTTAATTCACTTACAAACAAAACATGATAAGCTATTCTGTTGAGTCTATTCTCAGGTAGCTAAATAGGAATCCAAGTTTAAAAAGGTATAATAAAAATATAGTTGGGGAAAGACTTAAAGGTTAGGAAACTGGGTATCAGTAACTTTTTGTTTTCAAGAGTATGATTGTGAATGGAAAGAGGGAGACAAGTCACCTAGGTATATGGAGTTAATTGAAAAAATTTTTTCTCCTGTGGATGAGACAGTTTTGAGTATACTTACAATGGTAAAAACTAGCCAGTAGATATCCTGAAGTTGGGAAGAGGATTGGGTTCAGAGTAAATTTGAATAATCATGGATTAAAATCCATCAGTTTTACCCATATAAAACTATCTCTCATGGGGTCAAAAGTGGTTGTATATTGACATTTTCACATGGTTCAAACTAATAGATTGCAGAACTTGGACAACTGTCAGCTTTTCTGGAGAATGTGAATCGATGTGGGTAGATTTGTTGGTCTGACATGAGGAAGCTAAAGGAATTCTAATCAATCACATTATCCTATTTGAATCAGAAAATGAGATGGCAGATTATGAGATATGGAAATTTGAGGAGGATGGAAAAGTCAAAATAATTATTGGGGAAAACAGACAGAGGGGAAATACAAATGCTGATCAGAGCTGAGGACCTAGGTGAATAGGTACCTTGTGTGCATTGAAAAGGTGGTTTGGGCAGAGGTGAGCCATTTTTCAAATGGCTCTGGAATGCAGCTAGTATGAATGATGAAAGAGATGTGAGGCAAGGGAACTAGTTGGGTTCAAGATGTTTTTAAAAAATTTATTTAAGCCAGGCAT